GATCCCTATATGCAAAACAGAAAAAGAGACTCAGATGTATAGAACAGACTTGTGGACACTCTGGGAGAAGGCGAGGGTGGGATGTTTCAAGAGAACAGCATCGAAACATGTATATTATCTAGGGTGAAACAGATCACCAGCCCAGGTTGGATGCATGAGACAAGTGCTCGGACCTGGTGCACTGGGAAGACCCCAAGGAATCATGTGGAGAGGGAGGTGGGAGGGGGATTGGGATGGGGAATACATGTAAATCCATGGCTGATTCATGTCAATGTATGACAAACCACTATAATATTGTAAAGTAATTAGCCTCCAACTAATAAAAATAAATGGAAAAAAAAAGAACATTTTAAAAATTTTTAAAGGGTTGTAAAATCATAGAAAAATATGCGGCAGTGCCTTTACATGGCCATCAGTCTGAAGTATTTACTCACTGGCCCTTTCAGAAAAGTTTGCTGACTTTTGTTATACATAATTGACTTCAGCCCTCAGAGCTAATATTTCAGTTATGACTAAAGTATAATTTGGGTTCTCTGGAATAACCTGGAAATCTAATAACCATTTAGAAACCTCCTATGGAAAAATGTGAGAATGTGATGGCTCAAGAAAATCTGGAGTACCCAAATCCAGCAATGGCAAACCACCCAATGATGAGCATTCAGCTTCATGAATATGTTACCTCAACTGGTCAAGAGATTCCTGACGTGTGGCCTTCTTTTTATAGGAGAGGAAATTTCAGGGTTCACGGACAATTCCTGTTCTTAGAAAAGACTCCTATTTTGCCCCATAAGTGAACTATTTGTTTAGTCCTTGTTTCTTCCTTTATATTTTTCTGTGTTGTCCCGCTTAGGGTTTAAAACAAAAACAAAGTACATTCCAGTAAGGATGGCAGTGAATAATCTAAGGTAGAATTTGTGGGCACAGTCATTTTCTCCTAAGGCTGGCTATAGATTGCCCATGAGAATCTCCATTTGTGGTATTTTTCAGTATAATGTTTACTTCAAGTTCAATGGAAGAAACCTTAGTAAGTGAAAGAATAAGGACGAAGTTTCTTTTGAATCATATGTGGGTGACAAAGAACAAGTATTCAAGGGAACTAAAGAAGTGTCCTGTTACATCTTCAGTTGTCATAAATGGACCATCCACTAACGGAGTGAGAAAGAATTACTTGAATATTTTATTTCTTAGTGTTTGCCTGTGGGCACTAATTTTCTTATTTGATATTTATTATTTATAGTTATTAAATTTATTATTTATTTGTTAATACTCTTAAGGAATATGAGGTAAACCTAGTTATATAAAGCGAAAGGAAACATAATAATTAAGATGGACTCTAGGCAGGGTGAATATAGGCCTCAATTTGCTCAGGGCCATTCTGTTTACAACTTTGGTCCTGGCATAATCAAAGTACTTATTTTTATTCTTGAAAACTTTGTAGGTTTGGACACTAAATTATATGGTCAACCTGTTTATAGACCTATTCTGGTATTCCTCCTAGACTTTGTGGAAATTAAGTATAGGATTCAGAGTTATAAACTATTCTCTTCTGTAGCAGTGACCAATGTCACTAGTGAGAGCACTGCTAATTAAATGAAAAATTGGGTTTCATAAGCTTTTGCAATTCCTAGTGCTGTACATATCTAGATTTAGCCAGTAAATAATAAAGAAAATTCATATGTTAAGGCAAAATATCCTATAGAAATCTGACACAGGAGATGTACCACAGTGATAGTTCATGGGAACTTGAGTGGGTGACTGAGAGCAGATCAGGGGCAGACTATATTCCTGGCACCCTTAAATACTTTCTCCACTGACATTACCCACTACACACATTCTGATGATTGTATCAGGAAAAAGAAATCAGATGCTGCCAGAGCCTAGGTCATGGAAATGGAAAAACAGCCCCCAAACAAAAGATAGTACATTATAATCTTGCCAACAGAAGACTGCCTACACCGTCTCACAACTGTTTCAACAATGTCCTAAAAATAAAAAAGGCAGCTTGTTCTTTGCATATTCTTTTTTGCATGCTTTTTAGTGTGTGTTTTTTTTTTAAGGGGACATGTGAGTTACTTTAAAAAAAATTTTTTAAATCATTTCCTTATTTTCCTTTTTGGATGTGCTGGGTCTTTACTGCGGCATGTGTGCTCTCTTTGGTTGTGGTGTGTGGCCTTCTCGTGGCAGTGACTCCTCTTGTGGCGGAGAACAGGCTCCAGGCACATGGGCATTAGTAGCTACAGCACACAGAAAAGCAGTTATGGCTTGTGGGCTATAGTGCGTGCAGGCGTCAGGAGTTGTGTCATGTGAGCTCAGCTGTTCCGCAGCACATGGAATTTTCCCAGACCAGGGATTGAACCTGTGTCCCCCACACTGGGAGGCGGATTCTCACCCATTGTACCACTCTGCATATTCTTTTCAAAGACTTCTTCCTGAAAAGCATTCAATCACTGCTTAAATTTTTTTTTTGGTTGAACTTACATTGTTATTCTAGATGAAAAAGTTCCAACTGTCTTTAATTTTTTAAATTGATCATCTTCATTGATGAGTCCTTGTAAGAATTTTTAAAGTGCACACACAAAAATACAAACAAAATGTGCTCTTCAACAAAATATACTCTTGACAGTCACCAGTGAATTACACTACAGAACCTGAATGCAATCTTTAAAATCTGACCTCGTTAGTTTGGATTCATTAAGCGAGAATTGTGAAAAAGAAGACAGTACTTTCTTCAAGCTAAGCTTAGATATACTTCAAAATAACTTTCCTTTACAAATTTTTAGGGTTTTATAACAATGCCATATTTTGTTTGGGATGACTCAGAACTAAAGACTTAAGAAACTAAAAATCTTCTCAAAACATTCTCAGCTTCTAAGTATAGCAACTTTGGTTTGTTGTAGGCCTTTTGTTAGGATATTATATACTGAAGGCTTTCATACATAATAACTTTCCTCAGGTTACTAACCACAAGCCTATACTGTATATGAGATATTCAATAATTTATATATTTTTTCCCGTGTCAATTAAGTGCCCACTTTATACCAGGTACCATTAAGCCTTTCTCCCTAGACCAGAGATCCTCAATCAGAGGCAATTTTGTTCCTCAGGGGACTTTAAAAAAATTTTTTAAATCATTTCCTTATTTTCCTTTTTGGATGTGCTGGGTCTTTACTGCGGCATGTGTGCTCTCTTTGGTTGTGGTGTGTGGCCTTCTCGTGGCAGTGACTCCTCTTGTGGCGGAGAACAGGCTCCAGGCACATGGGCATTAGTAGCTACAGCACACAGAAAAGCAGTTATGGCTTGTGGGCTATAGTGCGTGCAGGCGTCAGGAGTTGTGTCATGTGAGCTCAGCTGTTCCGCAGCACATGGAATTTTCCCAGACCAGGGATTGAACCTGTGTCCCCCACACTGGGAGGCGGATTCTCACCCATTGTACCACTCTGCATATTCTTTTCAAAGACTTCTTCCTGAAAAGCATTCAATCACTGCTTAAATTTTTTTTTTGGTTGAACTTACATTGTTATTCTAGATGAAAAAGTTCCAACTGTCTTTAATTTTTTAAATTGATCATCTTCATTGATGAGTCCTTGTAAGAATTTTTAAAGTGCACACACAAAAATACAAACAAAATGTGCTCTTCAACAAAATATACTCTTGACAGTCACCAGTGAATTACACTACAGAACCTGAATGCAATCTTTAAAATCTGACCTCGTTAGTTTGGATTCATTAAGCGAGAATTGTGAAAAAGAAGACAGTACTTTCTTCAAGCTAAGCTTAGATATACTTCAAAATAACTTTCCTTTACAAATTTTTAGGGTTTTATAACAATGCCATATTTTGTTTGGGATGACTCAGAACTAAAGACTTAAGAAACTAAAAATCTTCTCAAAACATTCTCAGCTTCTAAGTATAGCAACTTTGGTTTGTTGTAGGCCTTTTGTTAGGATATTATATACTGAAGGCTTTCATACATAATAACTTTCCTCAGGTTACTAACCACAAGCCTATACTGTATATGAGATATTCAATAATTTATATATTTTTTCCCGTGTCAATTAAGTGCCCACTTTATACCAGGTACCATTAAGCCTTTCTCCCTAGACCAGAGATCCTCAATCAGAGGCAATTTTGTTCCTCAGGGGACTTCTGGCAGTGCTTACAGACAGACATTTTTAGTTGTAAAGACTGGGACTATGCTACTTGCATCTAATAGTAGAGGCCAGGCTGCTGAACACTTTACAGTGCACAAAAAAGCCCCTCATAGTCAGGAATTACCCAACCAAATTGTCAACGGTGCTGCTGTTAATAAATCTTAACTCTAGATATTTATAATTTGTGTTACTAAAAACACTGGCAATAGTAGCTGTTGCTAAAACTCATTTAGGTATTTCTATAGCTAAAAAACCCATAGTTATGTATGGAGGGAGAAAGGCAGAAAAAGATAGTCTTTTTATATTTGACAGATAGTTTAAATGTATTTTTCTAAACTGGGGATTGATTCCTAGGAACAATATAAAATGTTATTTCCCTAATGCTATTTGATAAGAAGTTAATATTTCCAGAGTAAAACAATCATTACCTTTTTAACTGCCATAATATATCCTTCTTCTTGAAACATTTTGAAAAATTCACACATGAATGTCTCTTTGAAACTTGACTAAAAAAAAACACACACACACACAGAACTTATATATGTTAAGTAGAGAACTAAGAATACAGAATATAATAGGCTGTATTTTTAAGTTTAGGATTAAGGCCTAAAGGGGTTCAATCATATATTTCAAGAGAGTTATGGGGTTGGAGCTGAAGATTTCTCTCAAGAGCTGCCAGGTGATTATGGCATAAAAAGATAAAGACAAGACTCTTACATCTGTTAACTAGATTCTTTACCCCATCTTAGACACATTAGTTTAAATGAAACTGTCTTCTTTAACAGGTGACTAAGACAAGACGTTTAAAAGACAACTATCGCATCTCTCTCTATGTAAATATAGTTTTTTTGATTTTGCTTTGTTTTTAATTTGGAAAGGAGTGAGCAGTGAGGGAGCAGGGATTATAGGGTTTAACAACATTTAGAAGTGTGAAAACAAAGCAATACAAAGTAACACTCACCTTGCTTTTGGACAGACTCCCCCAGCTTCCCAAAGTCTGAATAGTTTTTGAGATGAGAGTTAATGTTCTGATTGTCTGTGGATCCTAAAGAACACAGAAAAGACACAAAAAGTCTTGTTAGGTTTTCAAGGAATAGAATTTGTGTAAAAAGTATAACAGAGTGAATGGGCTACATTGCTCTAAAACAGTGACTCAAAAATGTTCATTCAAACCAGTTAAAACATAGCAAAAGATGGGCACAACTCACTGGACTAAGGAATTAAAAGACTAAAGAAGCCGTATGTAATTGACAATCCCCCTGAAGTAAATATATCTAATGACATTTACTTTTGAAAATCATAAGTTAATCAATATTATTTTTTAGGGAGGAGTACAGTATGGTTTTTCCAGTGGTCATGTATGGATGTGATAGCTGGACTGTGAAGAAAGCTGAGCACCAAAAAACTGATGCTTATGAACTGTGGTGTTGGAGAAGACTCTTGAGAGTCCCTTGGACTGCAAGGAGATCCAGTCAGTCCATCCTAAAGGAGATCAGTCCTGAGTGTTCATTGGAAGGACCGATGCTGAAGCTGAAACTCCAATACTTTGGCCACCTCATGCGAAGAACTGACTTATTGGAAAAGACCCTGATGCTGGGAGGGATTGGGGACAAGAAGAGAAAGGGACGACAGAGGAAGAGATGGTTGGATGGCAGCACCGACTCGAAGGACATGAGTTTGAATAAACTCTGAGAGTTGGTGATAGACAGGGAGGCCTGGCGTGCTGCGATTCATGGGGTTGCAGAGTCGGACACAACTGAGTGACTAAACTGAACTGAACTGAACAGTATGGTAGATGGGACTACCTAAAAAAATTGAATTTACTTTTGGAATGTCAATGGCATCTACTTCTTTCTATTTTATGACTTAACATGGTAGTTTCCAAATTTTTTGTACTCAATCCACTTGTAAGCATATTCAATAATGTTATGGCTTCTGCAATCAATTGTTTTTACCACGGAAGCAAAGACCTAACTTCAGCTTAGGAAATGAGAAATCATTCAGTTCATGTAGGATTTTAGCAGAAAGTAACTATTTGAGTCTACAATCCAAGGTGTTTTCCAGGGCTGTCTGTAGAAAGAAGTAAATATAAATAAAACTGACCAAATAGTGTTCTCTAACAAATCTTTGCTGCTTTTTTTTTTTAAATTGAGGTATAATTTACATACTGTGAAATGAACAAATTTTAAATGTATATAGTCTGATGAGTTTTCACCCATCCATATATTTTGTATAACTAATTCATCTATCACTATATAAAACATCTTTTTTGTTCTGGAGATTCAGATAAACAATATCTGCCATCAAGACATATTCAAGAAAATTTAGATACAGAAATGCTTTAGAAAACTGAAGTGGTTGATATTCCTTAATATTTTAGTATCATCACACTGAAAATAGACAGTGACTGTGAAGTGAAGAGATGGCTAAGGATGTAAGGCAATTCTGAAAAAGAAGGAATATCTGAGATATGAGTTATGATACACTTATGAAACAGTTACACACCTTAATTATGGTTATTCAGAAAAGATTTTAGCTACAACATCCAGGACTCCATTATATCTATAAAAGATCCCTCCAATTCTCTGCTTTTGAAGAATATATAATTCTCAACAATCTGCTAACAAGCTGAATTTGAAGTGAATTTCATCAAGACTTCCTGCTCAAGTTTGGGTAAAACTGCATTCATCTACTTATTCCTTAATCTTTTTCAATTGGATTTTCTTCTTTTCTCCTCTACTAAAATTGACTTCTCAAAATTCAAAGAACTTCTAAATGGCAGTTCTCCTCTTCAACTTTCACTCTTTAACTTTCATTACTGGTCCTGACAATGTCATCACTCTCAGGTCACCAGGATTATTCCTTGCTCTCATTTTCTATAGTATGAACTGTCTGTACTGCTCACCTGGTACTAATCAGGTGCTAGATTTATGTTTGCAGTTTTAGACTGTGTCTTATGTGTTTGCCTTATTTCCCCAATTAGAAGGAAAGGTTCATTTAAAAACAAACAATAAAGTTATATGACAGTATGAAGCAGTCCTTCGGTATACTGATTGGAAAGGTGACCTAAAATACAGAGTCTGTGATTAGAAGGATTTTACTGCAACCCATCTGTTACAGGGATGTGCAAATTCAAGCCTGAATACAAGGCAAGGTCATAAGTTCAGAGGTAGGAGTTCTGTTTATGTCCAGAATGATATCACGCTTTCGCTGCTCCAGAGCTCTGTACAGCTTCAGTAACAGAGCCACAGAAAAGACAGCCCTATGAACGAAAGGACACTGGTCCACTGCAGCTACTCACAGATCATTCGTTCTTTGACAAGAAAAGGTGTGTTACTACCACAGCAGTGTGGTTTAACTCAATTCTCAAGTTAAATCAGTGGCCAATGTGTAGTTGCGAAGAGGAGAGGTGGCCTTCAGAGCCAAGTTTAACACAAAACCTATGTGTCTCCCCTACACTGTATTAGCAAGTTTCCTTAGGGGAAGGTGTGTCTTCCTCATCAATGCCTCTCCAGGGCTGAGCAGAGCACTGAATATACTGCAGGTGTTCACACACCTGACTGCTAAGAGGCAGTAAGGAACAGGAGTGAGCTCATAGTCTGGGAGGACTAAGTGGGTCAGAATTCTCATTTAACCCAGTTCAAACTGAGCGAGATCAAATCGTCATATTTTAATTGTATGACCCTAAAGAAGTTCTTGAATTGTGATTTTCTCATCTATAAATGGGGCTTTCCTTGTGACTCAGCTGGTAAAAAATCCACCTGCAATGTGGGAGACCTAGATTCAATCCCTGGGTTGAGAAGATCCCCTGTAGAAGGGAAAAGCTACTCACTCCAGTATTCTGGCCTGGAGAATCCCATGGACTATACAGTCCATGGAGTCACAAAGAGTCAGACATGACTGAGCAACTTTCACTTTATAAATGAAGATTATAATAGAACCTACCTCATAAGGTTACTGGGAGAACTAAGTTAGAACATGTAAAGTACTTAGATCAAGGTGTAGTGCAAAGCAACCACTAAATAAATATTGGCTTTTATTATTACTACTTGCTACAAAAATCAGCAAAAAAACAATTAGATAAGATTATAAAATGTTTGGAATATAAAAGGTTATAGACTTAGAAAAAATATGCTGTATGAGAAGGAAAAAGAAACCGCAAAAATAAGGAGTTTTAAATTTAAGGATGGGGAACCTGGCGTGCTGCAATCCATGGGTCTGCAAAGAGTTGGACACGACTTAGCGACTAAACAACAAAATGTTAAGAAACATGTCAATCTATGTAGTGTAGATTCAGATTTAAGTAAATATGACTTTAGAACAAAAAGATTATATGCCTTAAGTTTTAAATCTCATATTTATAATATCTCAGGTGAATAAAAAGTAAATATGGAGACACCAAATTACATTCCAATGAAAGTTTCTACACCTTTCAGAAATGAGCCTCCTCAAATGTCTGTGAGATTTAAAGATAGCTGCAAGATTAAACCTACAACTAATGAAAGAAAAACAAGACAACCCTGTTGTAAAGAAATTTACAAATGTACACAACAGCAGAGGGAAAAGATGATGAGCTCTCTTCCTACCCATCACCAAGCTACAACTAGTACAAACATTTTATTACTCACTTGTAAGTATCTTTTAACAACAAAAATAATGGGACTTTCAGCCTTTTCTGAAAGAATGAAATGGCTAAGGAAAATAACCAGTTAAATTTAAGTACTGGTTATAAGAAAACACAGCCAAGTACAACTGGCCTGTTATTTGTCTTTTCTTATTTTAATAAAAATAAACAAAAATGGAACAAAGCTTTGAAAAGAATAACACTTACTGGATGATGAGGTCGCAAATGAAAAGTATGAGGTGATACTACTGCTACAGCAAAGAAACGAAGAAATACAAAGCTGCTCACTGCAGAATACTGAACATGAGGGTCATCTGCAGGAAAAAAATGGTGAAATGTCATGCACAAAACACTGAATTACAAAACGAAGATGACAAAAAGTATTGGAAGAAAGCATGTAAACTTAATAGGAGATAAATATAACCTGGCTAGTAAAAATTGAGTTGATGAAATGATAGTAATGGTTATGACCAAATTAAAGGGAAAAAATCCTATGACTAAAAAAATGAAACCTGAAAAAAAAAATAGTAAGAAATAACAAAGAAAATGAAAGGCAAAGCTGCTAGGTTGTGAGAAATACTTTTAATTTGGAAAAATACCTCTTCCCTCATCTGTAAGAAGAGACTCCTGAAATTACAACAAAAATAAAAGGAGTATCTAGTATTATCCAGTGGTAATACTGAACCCCCTAAAACTAGGACAGGAGATTGTTTTCAGTTTCAGGATATTGTTTCAGTTCTCCCTCAGAAATCTTGGTAATATCAAAGGTTGTATAACAAAAACAATTAGAAATCTTTACTTGTAAAAATCTGCCAATATTACCTATAAAAATGCAGATGAGCTGAAGACAACCTGTGGCTTTGATCACTCAGTTACAGCTTTCCTTTCAGACTGGAGTCAACACTTAACATAACAATCAGGTGGCAGAGAAGCAGGCGGTGAGGGAAACAATGTCTGCATTTGGTTTGAGTAACTCTTCTGAGCCACTCAGCGTGCGTAGCCACCAAGTCATTTACTGTGTAGTTCTTTATATAATAATATACTAATATACTTTATGGGCTTCCCTGGTGGCTCATTGGTAAAGAATTCACTTGAAATGCAGGAGACCTGGGTTTGCTCCCTGGGTTGGGAAGATATCCCCTGGAGGAGGGCATGGCAACCCACTTCAGTACGCATGCCAGGAGAATCCCCAAGGACACAGGAGCCTGGTGGGCTACAGTCCATGGGGTCACAAAGAGTTGGACATGACTGAGCGACTAAGTACAATATACTTTATAGTAATGCAATAACATTTGCTTCCGTGACTGCTTCCTCCTCACTCCCCACCCATCTTTCCAGGATAGTTAAGTACAAATGAGAAAATAATGCAAATACTTTATGAGAACAAAATTATTACTACTGGGGTCTACAGAGAATATGAAGACACGTTAATATTTCAGACCAACAGTTAAGGAAATAAATTTACGTTTATTAAAAAAAATCATAAAATATATTTTAGATTATCCATATAAACAAGAATTAAACAGCTAATGCACATTGAAGGTTAAAATCCCTGGGTATAACACTTACTGGATGATGAGGTCGCAAATGAAAAGTATGAGGTGATACTACTGCTACAGCAAAGAAACGAAGAAATACAAAGCTGCTCACTGCAGAATACTGAACATGAGGGTCATCTGCAGGAAAAAAATGGTGAAATGTCATGCACAAAACACTGAATTACAAAACGAAGATGACAAAAAGTATTGGAAGAAAGCATGTAAACTTAATAGGAGATAAATATAACCTGGCTAGTAAAAATTGAGTTGATGAAATGATAGTAATGGTTATGACCAAATTAAAGGGAAAAAATCCTATGACTAAAAAAATGAAACCTGAAAAAAAAATAGTAAGAAATAACAAAGAAAATGAAAGGCAAAGCTGCTAGGTTGTGAGAAATACTTTTAATTTGGAAAAATACCTCTTCCCTCATCTGTAAGAAGAGACTCCTGAAATTACAACAAAAATAAAAGGAGTATCTAGTATTATCCAGTGGTAATACTGAACCCCCTAAAACTAGGACAGGAGATTGTTTTCAGTTTCAGGATATTGTTTCAGTTCTCCCTCAGAAATCTTGGTAATATCAAAGGTTGTATAACAAAAACAATTAGAAATCTTTACTTGTAAAAATCTGCCAATATTACCTATAAAAATGCAGATGAGCTGAAGACAACCTGTGGCTTTGATCACTCAGTTACAGCTTTCCTTTCAGACTGGAGTCAACACTTAACATAACAATCAGGTGGCAGAGAAGCAGGCGGTGAGGGAAACAATGTCTGCATTTGGTTTGAGTAACTCTTCTGAGCCACTCAGCGTGCGTAGCCACCAAGTCATTTACTGTGTAGTTCTTTATATAATAATATACTAATATACTTTATGGGCTTCCCTGGTGGCTCATTGGTAAAGAATTCACTTGAAATGCAGGAGACCTGGGTTTGCTCCCTGGGTTGGGAAGATATCCCCTGGAGGAGGGCATGGCAACCCACTTCAGTACGCATGCCAGGAGAATCCCCAAGGACACAGGAGCCTGGTGGGCTACAGTCCATGGGGTCACAAAGAGTTGGACATGACTGAGCGACTAAGTACAATATACTTTATAGTAATGCAATAACGTTTGCTTCCGTGACTGCTTCCTCCTCACTCCCCACCCATCTTTCCAGGATAGTTAAGTACAAATGAGAAAATAATGCAAATACTTTATGAGAACAAAATTATTACTACTGGGGTCTACAGAGAATATGAAGACACGTTAATATTTCAGACCAACAGTTAAGGAAATAAATTTACGTTTATTAAAAAAAATCATAAAATATATTTTAGATTATCCATATAAACAAGAATTAAACAGCTAATGCACATTGAAGGTTAAAATCCCTGGGTAAACTACAGTGATTAGTAATACACTGGAGTGGGTTGGGCCCAGGTTTGAGACCCAGCATGACTGCTGGCCATGTCCAGGCCATTTGGCAAATCACTTGACTTCCCTAAACCTACATTTCATTAACTGGTGAAGGAGAACATACCTGCCTCATGTGGTGGTGTGCAGGTGAGAGAGAGGAGCTAATTCAGGCTAGCTCTGTCCTGCTCACTAAGCCCTCAATAAGGTTATTATGGTCTAAAACTCACTATTTAAAAATAAAATCTCAGCACTTCACCCTCCTATATTTTAATGTCTTTGTCCCCCTCGCCCCCCAATATTTGTTACAAAGTCTGGGTTTAGTATGCTTATTTCAAGTCAACTGTTTACAGCCTCACTGTAATTAGCAAAGACATCTAGGGCTGAATTTATCTACCTGTTAGGTAAAGAACTCAGGCTCACTTTAGCTTTAGATAATTTAGTGGAGAGGCAGATAACTGCAAATACCTGTGTGCACATGCACACTTGAAAAACATGATAAAGTAGCAAAATCTTTTCAGATGGTTACAGAAATAAACTTACAGTTTCACATAGCTGGGTAAGACTGATAATTTAAGTCTTATCTGCCTTATCTCCTTTACCCTCCCCCCATTACAAGCAGATCAGGAAAGAGCCATAGTAAGTAAGTTTATTTACTTATCAGAGATGCATATAAACAGAATAATTCCAAGTATTGACAACCAGAGGTAGCAACTATTAATTTTATGAAATGTTTCTAAGCAAAGCTTGGACACAGCTGCTCTTGCAAAATTAAAGCAGGCCAGTTATTGATATATGTACCTCAAAATTCTAGGTATATTGCAACAGAGATGTTTCTAATGTCTAAAGTCATTTCTGTAAAACCCCCTCACCAATAAAACCTTAGCATTCTCAAACTGTCAAATCTAGTCAGTTGTATGGAACTAAAAATTCTCACTATTTTGAATGCAGGCAAGTGGAAAATACAGCTGGCACAAACGACAAAGGTGTTTTTATTTATCATATTTAATAGTCTTACAAACACCCAGTATAAATGTTTACTTATATAATATGTAGTTTGAAATCTCTGCCTTTCTTAAAAACAGTGGTGATTTTGATTGGCATGTAAAAAGTTGCCATTAAATCATCCATTTCATTAATAAGTTAGAACTATTTTTAATAACAAAAAAGACTGTACTTAAAACCTTAAACCTTTTACATAAACCAAATACATAAGTCTACAGAAAATCATACACTTAAAAGGAACGGCATATTTTAGTAAAACAAGGCACTTACTAGGAAATCTTTGAGTAGCCATTTGCCTTAGAGAATAGAAGATATCACACATTACAGTGGGGCAGCTCATACTTGATTTGACAATTGTACTGAACAACTTGTCTACATAGTAGCGCAGATTCTCCTGCAGGGTTTAAAAAGGTGAAAATTAAGATTTTGACTTTTACATATCTTCAATACCCTTTATGGAAAAAAATGCAGTGAAAATGAGATATACTAGTCTATTTAGTATTCTAAAGCTTTGCTTCCCTTCTCTAAATTCATTCAGTGAAAAGACAATTTGCATCCTGACCTCATTTAATAACTTAGATTTAGACTAGTTAGATACAAGAGGTGAATGTATAGAAGAAAATTCACAGGAAGCAACAGAGAATAAAACGATACAAACAGAAATCAGGGAAATAGCATTCTGAAAACTAGACAGAGGGAATGCTGCTAATAGTATGGGTATCATGTAAGTAAAAGCACTGCTTCCCTCCAAATAGCATTACTACAACACAAGTGAGAGATAGATACACCATTAAAACCAATTTTAACACAGTTATAAAGATAGCAAAGGCTTACCTTATTATTTTCTACATTATCTCCCTCTTTCAATTTAATAGGATCAATTTCACAGGATTTTGAGGATTCACATATCTGGAAAATAGTTAAATTTTCATTTAATGCATTTTTCTAATTAATCTGGAAAAATAAAAAATTCAAGAGTGGACAAAAAGTTTTTTTGGGTTTTCAATTAACAGCATAAGGAAACTTTCTGGCAAACCCAATAACTATTATTTTTCTGATCATACAAATTAATTATAAAAATTTAAACTGTAATCAAGTTTAAAACCCTCTTCCAGAGATAATATATACACCTAAAGAACTGTATCAAAAAAACTGGCACATATTTGAAACTCTAGCTACAATAAATCCTGTAAGGAATAAATAATTATGTAGAGTACATTATAATGTGCATTCAACTAAAAATACATTAAAGGAAAAGTATATCATTTATTTTACTTTAGTGTTCAGCCTTATGTTTTCAGTAATGTATGAATGGATATGTCATTCATACCACCAGATCACTTGATGGAAGAGACACTATAATAATAACAAAATATTATTATCTGAGGTATATTCTGTACCTCATCTAGAATAGGTTTTAATGTTACTTTCAGGTAGTGCCCTCCCACTATTTTCATCATCTCATCCAGGCATCGGGTAGCCAAGGAGTTTCCTCTAAAAATTGTGTTTGCATCTCTGAAATACAAACAGAAATAAGGTAAAACCAAGTGCAATAAACAAAGGCTGTAAAATCAATAACAAGGTATTTGACTTTGATCATGTATAAATTTTAGTAATTTTTACCAACCATTTAAAAGTTTTCTACTCTAAGGATTTTCACACCTAGGAAAATCCCTTAACAAAAATATAAAAAAACAAGCTAACAAGAAAAGCAACCTGTATTTGAACTACAAAAGTAGTGTGTGTCTCTAAAACAAGTGTTAGACTTGATAGGAACGGGAAGCCATCTGATTGCTTTTAATATCACATGTGCATATCAGGGTGATATATATATAATGGATAAGGGGAAAAAAACCTTCTGTCCTGGTGTTTTATTTGTGACACATGAATCATTACAATGACAAAGCAAAGATTAGGAACAGGAAATTTTGACACTAAGTGGAAAAAAAAATCATTAATTATTAACTTTACTGTTGGCGGACACTGCTTGTTAACTTAAAGAACTGCCTTTTATTACTTGCTATGTAGTCCTTTTAGACCTCTCTACAGAAAGGTTGGTCAATTATAAAAGAACTGAGATTGTGAAAAATTTTGTTAAATTAAGGCCCAATTTCAGTGGCGCATAATTAACACTTAACAAAAGAAAACTCTTACTGTGTTTCCTTCAAGTCTAATTCCGCCACTGCAGCGGCAAAAGGAACAAGTTTATCATGGTGGAGCAGCAGTCGTACAAGGGGCAAAACAGCATCATTTTTATCTCGACATATTTCACCCAAAATGTAAGCAGCTGAGGCAGATATTGGCTAGAATACAGAAAGATGAAAAACAAGCACAAAATCAGAGAAGCATGATTAAATGTTCAATCACTATCCATTAAAAAGTAATTCAAATATGCTCATTAACTATAATAATTATATAGAATAATCTTTAATTTTTAAACTTTTTTTAACAAAACTTTTTATTTTGTATAGGGGTATAGCTGATTAACAAACAATGTTGTGATAGTGACAGGGGAACAGCAAAGGGACTCAGCCATACATATACATGTATCCATTTTCCCTCAAACTCCTCTCCCATCCAGGCTGGCACATAATATTGACCAAAATAATTTTCTAACTTTTTATCAGAGATGAAATTTGGAGCAGATATTGGTATAGAGTACTCTGGTTCAAATAAAACACACACAAACACACATACACGTAGAGTATGTGCGTGTATATCTAGACACACATATCAGTTCAGTTCAGTTGCTCAGCTGTGTCCAACTCTGCGACCCCACTGACTGCAGCACACCAGGCCTCCCTGTCTATCACCAACTCCCAGAGTATATACCCAAATTCATGTCCACTGAGTCGGTGATGCCATTCAACTATCTCATCCTCTGTCGTCCTGTTCTCCTCCTGCCTTCAATGAAATGACTCAGTGAGTCAGTTCTTTGTATCAGGTGGCCATAGTACTGGAGTTTCAGTCCAATACAGTCCTTCCAATGAACACCCAGGACCGATCTCCTTTAGGATGGACTGGTTGGATCTCCCTGTAGTCCAAGGGACTCTCGAGAGTCTTCTCCAATACCAAAGTTCAAAAGCACCGATTCTTTGGTGCTCAGCTTGCTTTATATATAGTCCAACTCTCATATCCATGCAAGACTACTGGAAAAACCATAGCTTTGAATAGATGGACCTTTGTTGGCAAAGTAATATTTCTGCTTTTTAATATGCTGTCTAGGTTGGTCATAACTTTCCTTCCAAGGAGCAAGCATTTTTTAATTTCATGGCTGTAGTCACCATCTGCAGTGATTTTTCAGTCTGTCACTGTTTCCACTGTTTCCCCATCTACTTGCCATGAAGTGATGGGACCGGATGCCATGATCTTAGTTTCCTCATTGTTGAGCTTTAAGCCAACTTTTTCACTCTCCTCTTTCACTTTCATCAAGAGGCTCTTTAGTTCTTCTTCACTTTCTGCCATAGGGTGGTGTCATCTGCATATCTGAGGTTATTGATATTTCTCCCAGCAATCTTGATTCCAGCTTGTGCTTNAATGAATTAGATAGTCTATGTTGTTGGCCAACAGGCAGAAGTAAAAATAGAGCTGCTCTGGTGAAGAAGAATGAGTATTCCTTGTATATGTGTGGGATCAAGGAGGTGGGATAAAGTGGAAAGAACCAGATTAAACTAAACTGAGCAAAAATGCAAACCAAAAAAAAAAAAAAATCACTATGTGAGGCTCAGTGACTCAGTACATGGGCACAGTAGACCTTATCTTGGTTAGCAATAGCCATTAATAATCAGTATTCCTTAATATTCACTAAGTATGGGCTTCCCTTGTGGCTCAGCTGGTAAAGAATCTGCCTGCAATGTGGGAGACCTGGGTTTGTTCCCTGGGTTGGGAAGATCCCCTGGAGAATGGAATGGCTACCCACTCCAGTAATCTGGCCTGGAGAATTCCATGGACCTCCCTATAGTCAAGTCACAAAGAGTTGGACACAACTGAGCGACTTTCACTTGACTATTAAGTAACACACAAGATTTTTAAAGTACCTGAACATCTGGTGATTTTAGCAGCAGTGTTTTCAAAGGACCATAGTACTCTGAAGGAAGTACATAGTCTTCTGTATAACATATATTTAATCGAAGGGACCCCAGGTCATCAGTTTTAGATGACTTGTTTCCATTGTCTCTTGGTTGTAGCAAGTACCTAAAGTAAAAATACAATCAATTCTATGCAATGATAATGTGCATCAAAGCTAATGAGATAATTAAACAGCTAAGCTATAAAAAAAAATTTAAAAAGTCAATATTTAATGTTAGGATAATTCATAAGTAGCAGAGTATTAATTTTCAGAGGCTAAGTAGTGGCTGTGAAGAAAACTAAAAATAGATTTTTATCCAGGAAACAAAAAAAGAATAGATAATACAAAAGTCAAGATCTCAAAAGGACTGAGTAAGAGTTTGATTAGCCTGCAGGTTAGGAAAAAAATTATAAAAGATTTAAAATCCAATGTATTATCAAAAATAACTTTTTACTAACTAAATTTAAGAAAGATACATTTGGCTAAAATAGATAAGACATACTATAAGAAGATGTAAGTGATCTCATTTTAAAGTGAATCCTATATTGTAAAAATTTGAACTTATTTTTTAAGAGTAAGTGGTTGGAGGTTTATAAAAAGTTTTTTATATTAGTAAAGGATTAGCACTGCAACTATACTGAAAATGATTTCAGCTGCAAAAATCGGATTCATATGAATTTGTAGGACCAAAATGAGAAATCTAAGTTAATTTTAAAGACTGTCATGGAAATTTTAAAATTATACAAAAGTAAGAAGAGCAGAATACTGAACTTGCATGTACTCATCATCTAACATAACTGATTATCAGTTCAAAGCCATTATTGTTTTAGCCACATCTCTACTCACTCCTCTCATCCCATTTATACATTATTTTAAAGCAATGTACAGGTGTTTTCTAATTTCATCTATAAATATTTCAGTATATATAACTATATACATTAAAAACTTCTCAAATTTACCATTATCCAGTCAGTATTCAAATTCTCCCAAACTTAACAGTTTTCTATAGTCTATTCAAATCCAAGTTCACAGATTGTAATTGGTTGATGGATTCAACCAATTAAAAAATCAGATAATTTATTTATAGAATTTTCCAGTCTTGGGACTATGTTAACTCTATCTCCATGGTATCACTTAACATATTCTTCCTCTTATTTCCTGTATACTGGAGTATACTGGATACTGGAGTATATCCAGGGGCTTGGTTAGATTGAGATTTGATATTCTGGTAGGAATACATTGACAGTATTGTGTAGCTACACCAGGAGGCACTAATGTCACTGTTTTCTCCTTTTTGTGATATTTGCAATTATTGATGGTCACTGCCAAGAGTCACTAATCTGCACAGGTTTCAAAATGATAACTATAATTCTATCATTCCTCCTTCAATCTTTAGCCACAATGCTTTTTATAAAGAAGTCAGTAGTTCTGATATTTACTTCTCACATCTACCACTTATGTCCTCCCTTAATACAGTAACTTGATTAAAAATAGAAGAGAGGAGGTTTTAACAGAATACTAACTTTGAGAAAGATATGATAAAGATAAATGAGAACTAAAGAATTAACCAAGCAACATTTAAAAGATGAAGGAATGGTAATATAAGGAGAGGAAATGATATAGAAATTATAGCACTACCCACAGAAAAGGAACTCCTGTCTCAGAAAACCAAGCTTCAGAACTTTTACTCTCTGATTTGAGAAATAATGGTATAAATAATTTGCCTATGGAAATAAGCCTGTCAGCAAAGGTGACTCTGAAGTGCCTCTAATGGAAGTCTAGGTGGCAAATCCCCAATCATCCTGACATGGGCATCACTTTGGTCAATTTCCCACAGTGTAGTATATATGTGTACATACATACACTACATAGTGTAGTGTAGTATGTTCTGTAGCTCTGCAAATTGAGATATCTAGTTCAATCAGCACATCTAGAAGTGAATCCAAATCACAATGATGGAGCAGAGACTAATATATTTAAAATAGAAGGCCAATTACTAAATTTATGGAAAGAAATATGGCTGACACTCGAACAACATGGGTTTGAACTACACAATTCCTGGAACCAATCCCCCATGAATACAGAGAGAAGACTGTAAGTAAGACTATATTGCAGTCTAGTGGCAAAGATACCTGTACTTTTTGTGACTGATATATTTTATTATGGAAATGTTAATTCACAAAAGTAGGGAGAAGAATGATACTATTAGGAAGCAACACCCTCACCATCAACCCCATGCATTTATCACCATTTATGGCTTAACTATTATCACCATTTTCCACAGTGTTTCATCTAAATCTTTCATTTCAACTAATACATTAAAAAAATTTTTTTTTCATTTATTTTTATTAGTTGGAGGCTAATTACAATATTGTAGTGGTTTCAACTAATACATTTTTTACCTGTTAATATATAGTTTTTTATGTTTGGTCAATACATTTTTTTTACCTACTGGCAAGCTATTTGGAAAGCCAAATTATCTATCAGAAGGTGTGTTGTGGTGAGTACAGGGACATAACACAGAGATTTATGGACTTTTAATCTCACAGCTAAGACAACTTTGCCAAGGAAAGAACAACGCTTCTAGAACAGATTGCTCTTACCCCATGACTAGGCCTGAATGGGCAGTACTCACCCATATTTGCCTCTTTGGGAGCCTTTTTTACTGTTCTAGATTAACTGCCCCTTCAACTCCTGTTTTCCATATATGGTAGAATAAGATTACTTGTATTACAGTTAAAACCTGGTTCTGCCTCCCAGGGACTGCACTTACCCACCCTAAACAATATCCCCACACTCTAGTCAGGTTTACAGACTCTGTTTTGGTTTGTTCTATAGAAATTATCCTCAGAGTGTATTATTCCCTTATCTCCAAATTACTGGGAGAAGGAATGCCTTATCCCTCTGGTATTCTCATAAAACTACAAAATATCTGAAAAATAGGTCTACAGTCCTAACATGACACATTCTTTGCAGGGGGCTTCAGGCAGTGATATGCCAATTATTGACTTTTATGTATACACTGTTTTAGGGTGCTCAGGAACTCCAGAAGGGTTCTCTCCGTCTACTCTTTTTCAACTTGTCTCCTTGGGTTTCTTCAGCAGGAATGGGAAATTCCTATGGACAAAGTATTTCATCCATATCTACTGGAAGAAAACATGGAGTTGCAAAACTGTCCCACCCATTCCTTGAAAAGATCTTTTTTTTTTTTTAATTTTTAATGAGGAGGGATCACTTACTCGATTTTTTTTTAATAACATTAAAAGGGACACTCAAATATTTGCTGACAATTTAAAACAGACAATATTTTTGAGTCTTAAACATATTCAACAGCATTTAGGTGAAAAGTACTAACTTACTATAGTACACTGGTTAAGAGCACAAACTTTTGGCGTCAAAAGAATTTGGTCCAAATTCCAGCTCTGCAACCTTGGGCAAATTGCTCAATCTCTCTGTGCTTGTTTCCTTATCTGTTACATAAGGGGTAAAAATAGTATCTAAATGACTAATCCTTATAAAAACCCTAAAGAGGTTATATAAGCGGAGCACTTAGAATAGTGCTTTGCACACAGTAAATGTGATTTATAAAACATTTATATACATATAACTGTTACCACTTAAAATAGATTAAATAACTAAAAATAAAGTTATTTACATAATTATGTAAATGTGATTAGTTGTTTTAAAATATTGTTACAAAAAGCTCAATTTCGACCATCTGAAGGATCCCTTGCAAATTAACCAATCTTGTATGAATTAAAGAGAAAAACCTCAAGATTTGTTACATCAAGGGTATCTGGTGTGTCTAAGGTCTAGGGATACAAAAAAACTCAAGTATATTTTTCTTCAGTTTTTAAATGAACTCTCAGTTTGAAAGAATAAGGGACAGGAATTAAAAAGAAGTTATTAACTGAAAAGGGCACTCAGTTGCTCACATTTTTTTTTTTTCAATTTATAGTTAGGCATAAAAGCAATTCTAATGATCTCAAGAGTCAGCCTCTTAAAAGAAAAAAAAAGTCAGCATTTGAAAGTTTTAACAAGGTCTGTATAATTAAAATTGAGGTATGCAGACAAAGACTACCATTATTTGTGAATAATGCTGCCTAAGCTGGAAAATAACTGTTCAGAGACAGCTTTTCCAATACTTGAATGTCACTTCTGGTTCCAGAAAGATAATCTTTTTACCAAAGACAGGTCCCAAAACTAGCAAATGAGAAAATCAATTCATCTTAAGTAAATATTAATCCAGTTTTAAATTTGTATAAAGTGCTTATGTTGAAAAAAACCCTCCGCCATGTGCTTTATTTCTATTCAAATTTCACTTCCGAAATTAAAAAATTGTAACATGAAAAGATCTTTGCATCAATTTTCTTAATGTTTATTTTGGATCACCTAGGAGGAAATTATTGTATCAATATGTACAATCACACAAAGGTTTTGTACCTATTAAGTTCTCTGACACCAGGTTACTGGTAAAATAAGACAGAACTATATTAGCACTAAGGTTCTCTTCATTTATACCATTCCAAACCAATGGAATACTGGTACCAAAGGAAAAAAAAAGATGCAAAAATTCTGTATGTATTTATGCAGAATAATGGTGATGACAGCAGCAATAACTATAATGATGAGTGTGAGAGATACCCATGGTCACAGCACTTATTTTATGTGAAACCAATTCATCCTCTAATGTTGGGAGGCAAATATTAAGTGTACCACCCCCATTCCATAGCTAAAGAAAATAAAGGCATTCAGGTGTAACACCTTGTCTAGGATTACCCAGGTAGTTAATGACAGAGATGGGATTTAAACCATGGTAGTGTGGTTCTAGAGTCCATACTCTTAACCACTATAAAAAGTCAAACACTTAATGAAGTTCTACTAAATTGCTAAGTGAAAAAAAGGTACAGAACATGATACAACATGTGTTCATTCATGTAAAGAAGAGGAAAGGTGGACATATCCATATTTGCCTATATTTACAGAAAATATTTCCAGGAACTCAAAACAGGGTTGCCTCAGAAGAGGTTAGCTGTGGGACAGGGGCAGGAGATAAGACCTTTATCTTCTAAACTGTGAACCATGTGAATGAGTTCTGTTATTTACACATGTTAAAGTTAAAACTAGCTAACAGCGACACTGACAGCTAATCCTAACACTTTAACAGAAGTTTCAGAATAAAGAATACACACCATCACTAAGGAACTGACTAGTTAACAAAGGAAATGGAAAATAACTGAATCATGTCATAATTTGAGAACAAAATTGGAACCACAAGAGATCAGTTTTCAGGGGACATCCCTGGTGGTCCAGTGGCTAAGACTCCATGTTCCCAATGCAGGGGGCCTGGGTTCCATACCTGGTCAGGGAACTAGAACCCACATGTCACAACCAAGATCCAGCACAGCCAAATAAATAAAAATAATTTAAAAAAATTTTTTAATTAGTTTTCAGGAAAAGACTCTAATAGTAAACGCTAAACAGAAATAATGTGGAAAGGGAAAGCAAACGAATACTTCTCAAACAACAGAATTATATTATTGGTAATTATTCTCTTTCCTACTACTAAGATAAGAAAAAATATGCTTGAAATCCCAAAGGTAAAGCTTTTCTTAAGTTTTCATTTAGTTACTAACAACCCCACAAGGGGACGCTGCAGTTCTACAACTGACAAAGGAGAATGTGTTTTAATTTGACTTAAAAGGAAATTGCATTCACATTTTTATATTTCCTCACGTACAGGGAAGTGTAAATGAATGAGCAGGATGTTTCTATTTCATGCTGTATAAATTTTAACACATACTTCTGGCAGGTTACCTTTAACATATTACTGGCAAAAAATAAATCTATAGGAATAAAATTAATTTGTTAGTGCTCATACATCCTGACTTGGTAGTTTGACAAACTGTTGCCAAATTTGGAGGGCCTGTTTGGAGAATCTTATTTAAAATACAGGCTATAATGGCACATTTCAAGTTCACTTGGAGGGGCCTTGGGAGGCACAACAATTTACATGTTATCTTGTACCAAGTAGCATGTACCAAGTAGACTTCCTCAGTGGCTCAATGGTTAAGTCTGCAATGCAGGAGCCACAGAATCCCTAGGTCAGGAGATCTCCTGGAGGAGGACATGGCAACCCATTCTAGTATTTTTGCCTGGAGAATCCCATGGACAGAGGAGCCTGGTGGGCTACAGTCCATAGGGTTACACAGAGTCGGACACGAATGAAGCAACTTGTCACACATGCACGCATGCTGTTATCACTTTAAAGACAATGAACTGAGTTCAGAAATTTTCATTTAAAAAATGTTTGCTGACCCAATCAAAAAATGGGCCAAAGAAATAAACAGACATTTCTCTAAGGAAGACATACAGATGGCTAAAAAACACATGAAAAGATGCTCAACATCACTCATTATCAGAGAAATGCAAATCAAAACCACAATGAGGTACCATTACACGCCAGTCAGGTTGGCTGCTATCCAAAAGTCTACAAGCAATAAATGCTGGAGAGGGTGTGGAGAAAAGGGAACCCTCTTACACTGTTGGTGGGAATGCAAACTAGTATAGCTGCTGTGGAGAACAGTGTGGAGATTTCTTAAAAAACTGAAAATAGAACTGCCATATGACCCANACTAATAAAAAAAAAATTTTTTTTAAGCTGAGAAAAAAATAAAATATGTTTGCTGACTTGATGTAAGGTGGAAGAAGTCTGGCAGGAGGGAATGACAAGCCTCAAATGTTAATCAAAAAAATGACCAAGTTTCTCCACCCCCCGCCCACCCATGGACACATTTTGGAGAAGGAAATGGCAACCCACTCCAGTGTTCTTGCCTGGAGAATCCCAGGGATGGGGTTGCACAGAGTTAGACACGACTGAAGTGACTTAGCAGTAGTAGCAGCATGGACACATTTTGGAAGTTACAGCATATAAAACGCCATCATAAAGACTAATCTTAGATCCGCATTAGCAAAAGGTAAACAATAAAATAAAAATTTTGAGACTACACAGACCAAAGTGAAGAATGCCTGATGGCACTCAGGAGAGGCAGGATCCTGCAGACAAATGAGACTGCTGCCCACAGTAAGAAACATCGGAACACTTGGTTTCAAGTCCTCTTCCAGGCAACTGAAACTGAGCACTAAAAAGGGGCCTTACAAGGCAAATGAGAAAGGCATGTTGTTTTATACTCAGTTGAAACCCAAGTTTAGCATGAGGGCTACTGGGCAATCTACTGGAGAGGAGAGGACATACATGCTTTTATGTGCTGTAGACAGGAAAACAACCAATAGTTTCACACTGATTTTGCCAAGGAAACTAACATCAGTTTAATGTCTGAACATTAACGTGAATTTAATGTCATTATAAGAAGTCAAGAAAAAGTTTAATACTGTGGCCAATACTGAGCCACCAGAACCCCTGAAAAGTTCATTAACTGAATCAGCTCAACATCTAGATCCCAGACATTAAGATAATAACACCAGAGTCACTCACAGTACATTTCAATAGGGTTTGGGGAAGAAAAATTACTGGTGAGATTTCATAACAGCTGAATCTCTACAATAAACCCTTTGCTTTCAAACATTCACAATTCCCATGCCTGTTAATAAAGTTTCCGAACTACAGATGTTGATCTGTGATCAAACTTTCTCTCACAAGAGCAACTCTCACGTAATGTTCGAAAGGTTCTACATTTTTTCTTCAGAGTTAAGATTAAGTTTTTGAACAGGAAAATATTCCAGACAAGTCAGTTCTTTTATCTCAGTACCAGAGGGCAAGTCATAAAACAAGAAAAAAATTGTACTTGTATTTCTGCAACAATAAATTAATGGCCAAATCAGTGTTAATGACTTTGGGCTTATCCATTCAAACTTAAAATATGGGAGGTGGGAGGGGGGATCAGGATGGGGGACACATGTAAATCCATGGCTGATTCATGTCAATGTATGGCAAAAACCACTACAATACTGTAAAGTAATTAGCCTCCAACTAATAAAAATAAATGGAAAAAAAATAAATTAAAAAAAAAATTTTAAATATGCTTAAAAGAACCATTTATTTGCATAGACAGTGCATGAAAGGGGTTGACCTACTGTGTAGTTCACTACAGTGTCTGTCTTCTTACCAGGCTTGATGAGAGGCATCATTTCTTAATACGTTCACAGGAACCTTAATCTCACCAAGGAAAACATCTTGGACCAGGTTTCCATTGTTCCACAAGTCGATCCTGAAAATTTTAAAATTGGCTTGATTTTTTGCAAACAATGTATAAGAGAACAAACATGACCAAACAGCTTCAAACTACTACATTTGTATTATAGCATTAATTTAAGGTTCTGAGTACTTTTGCCATAAGCATCTTTGCCACAGACATCTTTTCCTCAAGCATTTTTGCCACAAACATTTTCACCACATAACTAACTGGTTATAAGGCAATTCTGTTATAAAAAAGGTAAAATAAATAAAAGAGAGACATTAAAAAAGACACAAACATAGAAAATAAAATTAAAAAGACTTCATTGCAAAATACAAAATTTCAATACATTCAAAATGTATATAAATTCATGGCAATAATTCACGAATAACTGATTTTACTTTGTGGGCTGTACCTAAACACTTGTCTTCTAAGTCTTTCATTCACAGTATTTTACACATTATTTTTGGTTTTGCTTATTGATTTGTCTCATTTGGCATTACACTTTTCTGCTAAAATTTTTTCCTTCGTTAAGAGAGGTATCCATTTCCAAACACGAGGATGCATATTTGCTTCTGAGCTTTATACTGCGTTGGGAAAGCCATCCACACTGTTGTTCGTTCTTGGCACAGTGTCCCATGTCTATCCATTCAAACTTAAAATATGGGAGGTGGGAGGGGGGATCAGGATGGGGGACACATGTAAATCCATGGCTGATTCATGTCAATGTATGGCAAAAACCACTACAATACTGTAAAGTAATTAGCCTCCAACTAATAAAAATAAATGGAAAAAAAATAAATTAAAAAAAAAATTTTAAATATGCTTAAAAGAACCATTTATTTGCATAGACAGTGCATGAAAGGGGTTGACCTACTGTGTAGTTCACTACAGTGTCTGTCTTCTTACCAGGCTTGATGAGAGGCATCATTTCTTAATACGTTCACAGGAACCTTAATCTCACCAAGGAAAACATCTTGGACCAGGTTTCCATTGTTCCACAAGTCGATCCTGAAAATTTTAAAATTGGCTTGATTTTTTGCAAACAATGTATAAGAGAACAAACATGACCAAACAGCTTCAAACTACTACATTTGTATTATAGCATTAATTTAAGGTTCTGAGCACTTTTGCCATAAGCATCTTTGCCACAGACATCTTTTCCTCAAGCATTTTTGCCACAAACATTTTCACCACATAACTAACTGGTTATAAGGCAATTCTGTTATAAAAAAGGTAAAATAAATAAAAGAGAGACATTAAAAAAGACACAAACATAGAAAATAAAATTAAAAAGACTTCATTGCAAAATACAAAATTTCAATACATTCAAAATGTATATAAATTCATGGCAATAATTCACGAATAACTGATTTTACTTTGTGGGCTGTACCTAAACACTTGTCTTCTAAGTCTTTCATTCACAGTATTTTACACATTATTTTTGGTTTTGCTTATTGATTTGTCTCATTTGGCATTACACTTTTCTGCTAAAATTTTTTCCTTCGTTAAGAGAGGTATCCATTTCCAAACACGAGGATGCATATTTGCTTCTGAGCTTTATACTGCGTTGGGAAAGCCATCCACACTGTTGTTCGTTCTTGGCACAGTGTCCCATGTCTATTGACGGATGTTTCAAAGTTCTATGGGAAATGTGGGTTCAACCCTGTGCCTCTGAGGCCCTCAGATTCTCCTCCAATGTGGTGTGTTTCAAAATAAGAAACCAACTCCCGGGGCAAATCAGTGTCACCTGTCTGATCAATAAAGCTATCAATTATATCGATAACCAGAAGAAACACTAATGCAGTTCAACCAGTTGAAACCAAACTGTCAACCAGTTATTTTATTTTTCACAGCAAAGTTGACTTATCACCAATTAGTTATGTGGTGAAAATGTTTGCGGCAAAGATGTTTATGGTAAAGGTGCTTACGGCAAAGATGCTTATGGTGAAAGTACCAGACAAGTCATTTCACGTGCTTAAAAATAAGAGACAGATGTTAGCACTGTCATACACCTCACTAGCTAAACTAAGAAAGCAGAATACTGCCGTAGTTTTACTTAAAAGTACAGAACGTAACTATCTTAAATAATTTAAAAGAAAGTACTTAAGTTTCTTAGTTCCAAAATCTAGGTTTTATTTTAACCTGTAAAAATAAGAACTACAGAATTACATTTTTGAATTTGAGAAAAGAAACCAACACAAGACTACAGTTTCTTTCTCAAAACCAGTTAATATGTAAAGATAGGTGATTTTAAAAAATACATTACCTGATCATTCCAAACATGTGATTAATACACCCTTCAGATGAACACACTGTTAACACCACACCTATACATGCAATTTACAAAATTTTCACCTCCCAAACAGCATAGGTATTTAAGACCTAGGAAATAGCACAAACTTCAAACACATGCACCTGTTGGGTTATCTTACAAGACTTCTTACCTCACTGAAATTTCTGTTAGACAGCAGATATGTTAAGAAGAATAAAAAAATTATTTCTAAATTGGCTAGTATATAATTACTTTTTTATATATTCTTTGCATCCATTATGCTATGATTTAAATAGCAATTAAATTTGGGAAAAACTAAAAATATAAATAGGTAAAAATAAAATGGGTAAAAATTAGCTCATTTTTAAAATAAATACTCCTTGACTACTCCTGCAAAGAAATCAGACTTTGAGAAGATAATTTGGATTTAAACTAGAAGATAATTTAAATTTAAATGCACGTTCCTCTAAGTTTCACTGATGAACTTGCTACAGAGAATTCTGTTAAGCCTGAGTCACCTTTTTCAGTTAAATTTAGGATTTCTCTTTTGGCACAGAAAACAGCAATCCTGTAAAATCCAAGACACATACCTAATCTCCAGCTTTTCAATGTCCTCCTCTTCTACCTGGAACTGGGACTTTCTGGTGTAACTACTGGACCTCGTCACCTATAAACAAAAAATTTTAGTAAAAAAATTTTTATAATATCGTTTTCCTACACAAACTTTAAAAAACCATCCCTAAAGTGTTTGTGTTTATTATAAACAGAAGAAAATGCCTATGTAATATCTGACCCCGAATCTAAATACACAAACAGCTATGGAAGTAGCAGAGAGAGGTAAAGATAAGGTGGTAAATAAAACATCAAAATCAACTTTACCTCCATACCCTTCCTCATCGACTCAGTATGTAGGAACACTGGGTTCTCTGGCTCATACGTATATGTTGGTGACTCAGAGTAAAAGTGTTCTATTTCAGTGAAGCTGCATAAGCTAGGAACTGTTTGAAGACTTTCCCACATTTCTCAAGATAACAATGCCACCCTCACACTTCCTTCTCACATTTTTACTGAAAACATCAAGGCCATTGGCAGGAACTTCCTCAACTATTGTCCACCTGAACATGTTCATTCCCACAGAGGCCGGTTTACTGGATGACTTTTCTCATCCTTTTCTGAATCAAGAGGGTGAGATGATCCTCCTCTTTTCTGAGACAGCTCCACCCCCACATGGTATGCAGTAAACACACAGTCAGCATTCGATCTATTTTAATTGCAGCTTTCTTGACCAGACTGTTCACCTCATTCTAGTCTAAGAAAAATTCTCCCTTTAAATTATGGCCTTCCTATCTCTTTCCTTTCACAGACAAGTATCTCAAAACTGTTACCCATCCTTACAGCCTCCGCTTCCTCACCACCCACTCACTACAGTAACTCCTTATAATCTGGCTTCCTCATAGATCACCCTCCTAAAACCCCTCTCTTAATCATCGAGTCTGATGATGAAATTCTGAGTTTTCACCTTCCATGACCCCTTTATCTGAATGAGTGACCATACAAACATCCTCTATTTTCCCAGAGATATTCTTTTCTCTGAGTTTACCCAGCACGATCCTGGCTACCTTCTGCTCTCCTTGCTTCTACCTCTGCCACTACTTCTTCCTCAGAACATACAAACATGGGTTTTCTCCAGGGTTTTATATCTTATTTTGCTCTAAGCTACACAGGGCTGTACGGTGAACGAAGTGCTTTCATATTCATTATCTCCTGTGTTCATCAGAACAGTGCTCTGGGCAGGCAGGGCTAGATTTATTATCCTCATCTTGAAAATGAGGAAGCTAAAGTACAGAAATTAAGAAACATGTTCAAAGTCAAATATTTAACATGTGGCAGAACTTAGCTGGTTCACTTCTCTTCTTTCTTGCATACCTCTATGCCCTTGGCTTGCTTTTTTGACTCACTGTAAGCAATTCTTGATTCTTTATCTACAGTAATCACCCATCTTAGTCATGAACTTCTTATGGGAGGATTTTACATGTCAGAGCTCAAGCTCATTATGCCCCACACTGAACCACTTGTTTTCCTTCTTAACTTTTCCAGATTTGAAATCATGAGGACAACATCTGACTCCTCCTTTTATCTTTTCTTCTGTAACCAATTTGTTATCTTGCCATTTGTAGTTTCTCATCTTTCTTTTCCGCCCTGTTTCCATATTACTCTCTTGAGTCAGACCCTTCCCCCGCTTTTGCTTTTTCCTTTAAAAAAAAAAAAAAAAAACACCTAGACTGCAAGTCTCTTGATCTCTGTTCTCTCTCGAAGCCATCTGGCCCACAGATCATGGTTAACTGTCCTCAAAATACTTCATTACTCTTGTTACCTCTGGGCTCAACAATATTCAATGTCCAATACTCCAACCTGCTCTCAAGGCCTTTCATTAGTTGGTCCTACTTTATCTTTCTAAGCTTAACTCCCTTTATTCCCTTTCAGTCAAATCACTACTTGCTACTCTTTGGACATAACTTTCTATGTCTTTGTTCAAAAGATTCCATTTTTAATACTCTTTTCCTCTGGCTTAACTCAGTGGCCGCAGAGCTCCCCAGCATCAACTACTGCATTTTACTGCTGCATGTCTGCATGCGTGTGCATGCTTTGGGTCTCTTACTGCAGCTAGAGGACAGAGACTGAACTTTTATCTTTATAATCAGCTCAACAAAAGGGCCCTTCGAATGAATGTTTTGAGGCTTGATATGCATGTTTGCATATACCAAACAGGTCAGGTCTTGACTTTCAAAGGACCATCTGGTTGTTGCTACAAGTTGCCCCTTCTTGGATTTTCTTCAGGCTAGATGTAATAGCCATTTTTAAATACCGAACAATTGAATTAAATAAGTCCTTGGCTGGGAAATGAAAAAATCTCACACTGGTACATTTTCTTTTGTTTTTCTTTCTTCCTTGCCTCCACCCCCACAATTCTTCCTACTTCAATTCTGGCATTTCCTCAACTGTGTTCCTTTATTAAAAGCACAGTAATCAGGCATGGCTAGATGTGCCCTCATTCTCTTTACTTCGAAATATCAAAAAAACCCATGTAAAAAAAAGGAAAAGCACAAAATGCAACTTAAAAAAAAAAACAAACACTTTCCTACATGCTATTTTCAACAATTGCAACATATTCTATGGGTAGAACACAATTTTTTAGAATAGAGCTTAATTATTTTTGTTTTTTTCCTGTAGTTTTCTAATATGAAAAAGGATTTATTTAACAATGCTCCATAGGAAGGAACTTCAAAACACTATTTTGGGCAAATTCAAGGCAATTGAAGTTCTCTATGAAAATAAGCACATGTCCTTAGAGTGATTCAGCTAAAAGGAGGCTAATAACAAGGCCTTAATTATGTTGTACTTTATAATCTCAAAGCATTTTCACATTTGAACCTCATAAAAACTCTATGACTTAGGTTGGGATGCTATTGTTCTCTCTTACAAAATTATCCTTTCACAGGAAATTTGAGTCTCTCATGTAGTGATCTGTCCAAACTCAACTGGGACTAGAACCCAGATCTAACAAGTGGATATCATACTTATTTCACTAATGGCTTTCAAGTAGTATTCTGCCAAAGAGTCCTGGAGGGCTGGATACGGTGGGGTTCTGAGAGAAGGGGGGTGTGATACCAAGACTGACTGATGACTGAGTGTGGCCCTAGACCTCCCCCGCCTCAGATTAATCAGAGCTCTGCCAGTGCAGAGGCTCTGCACTGGGCCTCCACTGTGTCACACCACTGACCCACAGCTTTCAGGAAAGAAATGCTTAGTTGTATTAATATTTAAATAAAACAAAAAGTTACCTCAAAATAAAAGATTTCATTAAACTGCGGATTGCTTGTTTTCTTCTTTACTTTTGTCTTCTTCTGGTCATTCCTGTTCCAATGTGGTAGAGTTTTACCTTGTAGAACTTAACAGTACACAATTATAAAACATGCTATTTCCAACCAGGGAGCCAGGCCTCTTTCTGTTTAACTGTTAGGATGATTCAGGGAAGGGAGTAGCTTTAAACATTACTTGGGGGAAAAAACTGACATGTCTCTAAAAACTCAAATCAAAGAATACACAAATTTTGTATATGTGATATATGCCAAGATTTTATTATTCCATGGCTATATTAGATTGACTGTCAGGTCTCCTTCAGGGGTTTTTAAGTAACACATTCTATTATATAAGCAACTCAAAATAAATGGTAGAAGGAAGACAATGAGATTCAAATACCTTATTCTATGTTGAAAAATACCCCAGGAACACATTTAACTAATTTTACTTCTTGGACTTTGGCTACAATGTGGCTTTTTTAAAAAAAACTTTTTACTTTGAAATAATTAGAGATGAAGAGGAGGTTGCAAAGAAATGTACACGGAAGTCCCATGGAGCCTTTCACCAGCTCCCCAACAGTAATATCCTCCACAACCACAGCACAGTATCAAAACCGATAGTGACTTTTTAAAACAAATTCATATGCTAAACAGTTTCTATCTATACATTACTAAGTATTTACACTAAAGAATCTGTTGGGTACTGATTATAAACAAGAACAAAAACCAAGAACAATTCCGGTGAACACTTGAAACACATAGAACTAAATCCCTTTGACAGCATGAATGTTATAAGAGTGAGTATCTGCTTTTAAATTTAAAATCATCTATACTAATAATAGGATACTACTGCTTGAGAACCCAGTAAGTACCAGGCATGGTGCTTTACATACCACAGGGACAAATACATTTTCAAAGTGACTAACTGGTTATTTTCTTAAAAATAAGATACATAGTGAGCTTGGGGGAGGGAAGAAGCAGTACATGTCTGTGTGTGTATATATATTATTCTGTGTGGCACTATTATGCTCTTTGTTTCTTGATTCTAAGCCTTCAAGTTGTAGACAAATTTCAACTAGTCAGGCTCTGAAAGAAACCATAATGAAATTACAAAATAGAAAATATTAAAAATTGCTATAGATTTTCCATAAATTATCGTAAGTAATTTAAATCAATGATACAGTGTGCTTCACCATGTTCTGGTACTTTAGCAGTTTATCTGCAGCTTGGAATTCTCTCTGAACAGCACAGATGGCAAAAGGAGAAAAGGTATTTTTAGTCCTGAGTTGCTTTCTAGATAAAAATATTGAAACTTCCTTGCTATTTTGAGCTAACATTTCTTAAAACAGAATTCTACCTGCAATAAAGTCTAAGACATTTGAAAATAGGAAGGCTGATGATGAAAGAAGGTGAAGTTCATGTTTTAAAGTACATTTTAAATACTATAAAACAGAGGTTGCTCCCCACAGCCTAAGAGTCTGGCAGATTTGAAATGGCACTTGTTTTCCTTCATAAAAGAAGAGTTGGCTATTTGCAAGTATATAATAGAACTGAAGATTACTTTCAAAAAGCATTCATTAGTCTATATCATAAACAGATATTTAATATGCTCTCTCAGAACCTTAATTTTGTAATTTTTAAACTTAAAAATCTAATACTAATTCAATAAACATTACCTGGAAGGGCCCACTAGAGAAACTGTTGCATAAGGGTCACAGCTTTGTCCATTTATGAGAGGCAACCCATGGCACGCCTTGACACTAAGGAAGAATAATGAAAAATTAACCTTATTATACTGAAGTTAAACAACATGAAACATTATCTTTAAATACAAGTTAATAAAGTCAAAGGATTAAAACTGTTTTCCACATGTCTGAAGTTGTATGCCTATATACCACCTATCCCAAACCTATGTATGCACGCACTTATTTCTTTAGATTTTTTTTGTAGTGTAAGTGCTTTACAATGTTGTGTTCGTTTCTGCTGTACAACAGCACCAGTCGGCTGCATGTATACGTATGCTCCCTCCCCCGTGAACCTACCGGCCCCCAGCTCCCACCCCCTCGGTCATCACAGAGCACTGAGCTGAGCCCCCTGTGCTCACTGACTCGTGCTATACTTCCAGAATAGGACAGACTACGAACTAACACTGAGCACACAAAGCATATCCAGCAAGGTGTGTGCTGTGGTTTGCTAACACATTAAAACGCCTGTGGCTTCTAAAAAGGAAAAGAAAGGGGTGTGAACCTTAGAGAAACTACAAACCAAGTCAAATCTGTAGCATCATATCCTCTGCTAAAGCATGAATGAGAAACAAGGAAACAACTGTGGTTTCCACTTAAAATCTGATTCATAAATAAAGAGCAAGCCACATACAGTCCTGCAGCCTTTTATTCTAACTCTCAGTAACAGCTCCTGCCTCATTCTGCAGAAAATGTTTTAGACCATAAAAACTGAGATCTCATCTACCCCATGGATAATGGTCACTGGTATTTACAAAGAACACTGAATCTGACTTAATGACCTGCTCCTCAAATTTTCTCTTTACTGAGGTTCACAAATTCAGTTGACCATATAAGGGTGTACATTTCCCAGTGCCTACAAGAAACTCATGAGTGTTTGTGAAAAGCATTCTTGGTTGAAAGATGTGAGCTACTGAATGACATTCTAATTTCTCTCTACAACCCACAGATCATATATGTGGGTGAAGTGCAAATGGTATGCTGCCTAGTAAAGAAAGAAATGATAATATGACTCATTTCTATTAAATTGGGTATCAGAAATCAAATTTTAAAAATTTCTGAAACTAACTGAAGAAAAGTACAGGCCAAGGCAACAATTCTGGTTATTAATGTCAGGCTTGGGTATAGTCAAATTTTCCCACTGTACATATTGTTTGAAATGTACACTTCTTAGGCTAAATCTCAAAATGATACCTGACTTTTATATAATATTTGCAGTTTACTATTTATTTTCACAGAATGCACCTAATTCCCACAACTGCCTTTGAGAAAGGTATAATCATGTCATTTTAAAGAAGAAAGTAAGGCTAAAAAATGTATGTAAGAAAATAACAAAATAATGCTAAAGAGGTAATAAAACTTGTAAGAAGTGGGCTGAGACTCAACTTCTACTTTCTTAACTCCATTTCTAAACTTCAAAGTCCTCCTACATCCCCACTATGCCGGAATATACTGTATTTGGTTGGCCACAAAGTTCATTTGGGTTTTTCCATAACATACTACAGAAAAACCCGAACGAACCTTGGGGCAACCCTTACTTTCTTCATAATACCAAATTTATCTGATGTAAACATTAATTATGAGAAATCTTAATTATAAAAAGTCATTATAATTTTATGAGGTATGAAAACAATGAGAAAATGCTTTTCAGTATAGATTTCTATAAGAATACTCACAAACCAAAAAAACACTCATAACCCAAAAGCAAGAGTCTATAAAAACCATCAGAAGTACTCATATAATTTTAAAATATAAGTATAAAAATTAGGTTTTCTGACAAACTAGTAGTATTAAATACAGGTTATTTTATTTGCTACATATATTATGAAATATTTTCCTAATTAATTACTCTTCTAATTGGTAAATCAAACAACTTCACATTGTAAACCATGAATGAGCTAAAAATGAAAGTTAAAATAACCTTACTACACCAAATTATCTTGTATTTTATTTATATATGACATATAAAGCATTAGATAATGACACATCTTCTAGAAATTACAAAGGAAAATAAGTTTAGTCCAAATTTATTTATAATACAGAATGATTTGATTCTTTGCCTAGGATTTTTTTTTTAAGCTAAAAGACAAACATTAACTTCTGCATATATTAAGAAGAGGTGGCAAGAATACACAGAAGAACTATACAAAAAAGATCTTCACAACCCAGATAATTATGATGGTGTGACCACCAACCTAGAGCCAGACATTGTGGAATGTGAAGTCAAGTGGGCCTTAGGAAGCATCACTACGAACAAAGCTAGTGGAGGTGATGAAAGTCAGCTGAGCTGTTTCAAATCCTAAAAGATGATGCTGTGAAAGTGCTGCACTCAATATGCCAGCAAATTTGGAAAACTCAGCAGTGGCCACAGGACTGGAAAAGGTCAGTTTTCATTCCAGTCCCAAAGAAAGGCAAT